TTTTTCTTTCTTTCTCTGGCATTGATGCCTGGAAGCCAAAGAATATTTTTCTTTTCCTTTAGAATTTCTCATGTAAGTCGCATAATATACCTAATGGACCCTCTACAGATGGGGTTGATTGAATAAATTAGCTGAGGAACACATAATATATAGCTTTATTATAGTTTTTTTCTTCTTATTTATTTAACATGGCTTAGAAAGGTCGACTCAGGAATTCTTTTTTTCACAAGTGACATTGAGGTAACCTGAAGCTGTTTTGTTGTTTGGATCATCAGACATAATGGAGAGTTTCTTTTTTGTATTACTTTCTATCTTTCTCACTATCTGATCCTTTGGGAACTCCAAATGCCTTAACATTTTAATCTTTTTTAATTGACTACTAAAAATATCACAAAGGAGACCAGAAAGTCTATCTAACTTATTAACTGTATTTCTCCATAGGAAAAAAAAAATATGGTTGTTGGAACTTGTTTCTTTTGATATAACATTGTCAAGTGTATGGCCTCAGTGCCATTATCTAATGCTCAGAGTTTTTATACAGTGTAGGCTTTATCTGAATTTTCAAATCTCTGAAAAAATTTGAACTAATAACCTAATTTGTTTCACATACATTTGTTCTTCTCAAGGTATGATTTGATTAATATTATAGAAAACTTTATAATTAAGCTTTTGGCATTTGTGAAAGAATTTTCTGTCTGGGAAACAATTTTTTTCTACCTGATATGGTCAATTGGGAATTAAATATCAGACTTTTCCATAATGGCATTTGAGATATGTAATCTGTTTCTTAACCATTAATAAATATCTTAAATATTTAATATTCCTTAAATCTTTTTTATTTATTTATTTTTTTGCATATTTTTGCTTCTTTTAAAACTACTACAAACAGGTTTCATATGACTTAGAACCTTTCAGATGCTGGCATTTATATTTCTAATCAGTTACCAGATGATGCAATTATTTTTTCAGTCTAGTCTTAATCTTTCTTAAGGATTAGACTACACAAGAGTAGCCTTGGGAATTGTATGGAAGTAAAGGAGTATATAGAAGAAGCTTGTGATGGTACAGATGGGTCTGAAATATATTTTCCATAACATTTGTCATGGTGCAAGCCATTGTTGAATAGTTGGTCAGCAGTGGAAGAATGGGTAAATGAATGGCTTTGGTCTTTTCTTAGAGAAGTAATTGTTGCATTTAGAGGAAACAGAATTATAAAATAGCTCATTGCATTTACAATAAAGATCATGATTCATAAATATGTTTTAATGACATTCTCCTTGGGGATTTTTATTTCCTTCTCAGCAAAAGCATCTTAGACTAAATCATTCAAACTTTTGTTGTTGTTACCATCACCATTATTACCATCATCATCCTTTAGATATGTTCATAAAACTTCTTCGTTAGAAAAATTGAAGAACGATTGCTCTTTATAATGCTTTTCTGTCTTTTTTAGCTTTCCTTGAGTAATAAGCAAAGTCTCAAGAATCTATCCTGATGTGAAATATAGGATAGCTCTTATTATCGCATTTTTATTGATACTACTCTTGATTGATTAAAACAAAATACCATAGTTTAGAAAAAAATTTACTTCTTTGGAGAAACCTTGTTTCCATAGGTCAGAAGTGTTTAATTAAATAATTTTGCTTAAGAACTTGAACCCTGCTATTGATTTCATTAAAGTGAACTTATGTTTGTGCAATGCGATAGGAGAAGGTGTGGTATGAATTCTTTAATATTTTGATGGAGGTATTTTAGGTATTATAAATCACAGTCAAGTTTTATTTTTAAGCATTTTATTATTAGTTTTTAGTATACAGTACATTCATTAGACATTTCTACAATTTATGAAATGATCCCCCCTATTACTCTATCACCCCTCTGACTCTACACCTAGCCATAACACTACTGTCGACTACATTCCCTATGCTGTGTTCCCATCTTCGTGACCATCTATCAACTACCAATTTGTCAAGTTTTAAATAAAATATAAATCTTCAACAACTTGTTCTCAATACATTCAGTAGTAAAATTATTCTGCTCTAACTAGTTTTTCTTTAATGATAATAAGAACTTAGTATCTTTCAAAATCTTGAGGTCATCATTATGAATATCAGTTATGTCAGGGCTACATATAGTCAAGAAATAGGAATATTGAAATGAGATGTTCTTGAAATTGTTTTAAATAATTCTCTGATATTAGCTTGGTTAAAAAAATAAGTAATATGAAGACAATATTTTCTAAGTAACTCACTATTATGTCTCTAAGATTTAGCAACATATGCTAAATATCTAAAAGTTCAATAAAAGTTCCTTCAGATGTTGAAGAAATTTACATTATATTTATTTAATAATAAATTTTCTAGGAATTATTATCTTAGACCTATGTCTGTACAGAATTCCCCTCTTATCCACAGTTTCGCTTTCCATGGCTTTAGTTACCTGCAGCCAACCACGGTTCAAAAATATTAAATGGAAAATTCTGGAAATAAACAGTTCAGAAGTTTTAAGTTGGGCATTTTCTGAGTAGCATGATGAAATCTTACTCCGCCCAAGATGTGAATCATCCCTTTGGCCAGCATATCCACACTGTATACACTGCCTGCCTATTGATCCCTTCGTAGCCATCTGAGTTATCAGACCGGCTGTTTTGGTATCGCGGTTTGTGTTCGAGTAACCCTTGTAGCAGCCTAATACTACCTCACAATGCTTACGTCAGTCACCTTACTTTATCTCATCACGTAGGCATTGTATCATCTCACATCATCACAAGAAGGGTGGGTATAGTACAGTAAGAAGTTTTGAGAGAAATCATATTCATATAACTTTTTAAATAGTATATTGTTATAATTATTCTACTTCCTTATTAGTTATTATTAATCTTTTACTGTGCTTAATTTATAAATTAAACTTTATCATGTATGTATAGGAAAAAACATAGTATATATAGGTGTCTGTACTATCTGTGATTTCAGGCATCCCCTGGGAATCTTGGAACAAATCCCCTGTCCATAAATAGGGACTATATTTTTAGGAAAACTATTAGGTGGGATAGAAGGTATAATTTACAATGACATATTTGACAGATATAGAAGATATGTTTCTTTAAAACAGATGGCTTACAGAGGTCTGCACAGGGCCTGGGAAGCAGTCTTGGCTTAACTTAGATTGAGCTACCCTCTACTCGCAGGCCCCAGTATAGCACCTTCCTTACTTGCCTGTGTATTTACTTGGAGTCAGGAGTGTTTACTTTTGAGGTATTTAATGCCCTTTGTTTGACTGACAGCCTGACCTTTCCTATATTTCCAGAACTCAAAATGTGTTTATTTCTATGATTAGAAGTAGCATGAACTAATTCTAGCATTGTACTGCCATCTATTTCTTTATAGGCCAGGCTACTACCATAGAAGTTTAGCACCAGAATGCCTATGATTCTATTTAGATTTCGCAATACTATCTCTGTCTTAAATGCTCACTCGTTTTGAAGAGATGGGAATGATTATATTGTTTAATATTAAAAAAATCTATGGTTTTTATTGAACTTCTAGGTATTTAGCATATGTTGCTAAACCTTAGACACATAATAGTGAGTTACTCAGAAAACACTGTCCTCGTATTTCTTATTTTTTAAACTATAAAACAACTCTTAAACATATTATTTGTGAAATTGAAAGGAAAAAAGTTGACTGCCAAGAAGACATTAGAATCTTTTGTATGTATGGTAAACAGTAATGGTACCCCAAAGATGACCAACATCCTATTCCCTGGAATTTGTGAGTGTCTTATGTTATACATCCTAGGGGTGGGATGGGGAGGGGATTAGGTTGCTAATTGGCTGACTTTGTGATAAGATTATTCTGGTTTGCTCACATGGGCCAGGTACTCACATGGGTCCTTGCAAGTGAAAGAAGGAAGCAGTAGAGTCAGTGTCCAAAACAGAAATTTGACGACGATGCTGGCTTTAAAGATGAGGAAGGGGCCATGAGCCAAGAAATGCAGGTTGGAAGAGCAGGGAAATCGATTCTACTCTAGAGCCTCCACAGGGCACTGAGGCCTGCCAATACTTTTATTTTGGCCCAGTGAGACCCACTGCAGACTTCTGGTCTCCAGAACTCTGATTGAATAAATTTGTGTTGTTTGAATCCAGTAAGTTTGAGGTAATTTGATACAGCAGCAACAGGAAATAATACACTATGTTTACCATTATATAATGTTTTCACATCCATTGTCTCATCATGTGTTTGTAAAATAACTGTGATATAGGCATGGTTGCCATTCTTATTTCCAATTAATAGATGAGAAAAGTGAGGCCCAGAGAGATTTACCCAAGGCCACAAAGCTAATTATAACACTGTGAACACAAGCACCTAGCATTAGAGTTGAATGTGACTATGTTTTTCCTCTTCATTCTCTCTCCTTACTATGCGCAAATTTGGTAAAACTGACCCAGATCATAGGATACATGCAGATAACACATATAATCCCTCTACCCCCTACTATATGATTATCTCTTCCTGTCTGGATTCCTGCAGTAGCCTAATGTCAGATTCTTAATTCATGTGATCCTACTCTA